CTGCTTATCCGACACACTGCTCTGGGGATGCACAGGGCCTCTGGAGGAAACTCAGTGTTTCAGTTAATTAGCCTGACATGCGCTGCTCTGCTGCCTGTTGAGATCTTTTGCTACTGCGGAAAAAGTGGATGCTAATGTCAACAGCCAGGAATGAACTTGGAGGGGTGGATTCAACGGAAGGGCTTTGGTCTGAGTCTGCCTTCCAGCTTGATTGTTGCTAAAGTTAAATTTAGCCAAGTTAAGCTGTGTGATGCCCAGAGTCGAAATCAATGGATTTAAGCAGCTCAGGTCCATTGATATCAAGGCATATCACCTACTGTACAGACATGAGACTCCTCCAAATGACCTCTTCCTTCAGCATCCATCTTGATTTGTTTGCACAAAGCTTACATGGTGGTTAGACTACATCCTGTTTTTATTGAGCATTTGCTTTGATTTGTTTGTGTTATGTACTGAAGTTCTCACCCTGGGCCAGCAGGGGGGTACTGTAGATAGTTTTCACTCAGGTCCACATATGCAAATAAGGGATCGAAAGTGACGTTCAGTGATTGGATAGTTTTAGAAAATTGTTACAGTTACATTATACTAGAGCTCTATATAAGCAGGCTGACTGAACCCTTCAGTTCAGTTCTGTCCTGGCCTGTGAATAAACAAGAGCTGTTTGAAGAATCACTGTGTCGTCTGATATGTTCACCCAAAACTTAACACTGCACTTTTCAGTTCATTTCCTAGTCACTTTCCAAACTGTAAAAAGTCCAGGTTTTTGTTTAGTTTTTTAGTGACTTTGTTGCACTAGGGTCCTTCCAAACATCTGAACAGATCTGAGCCTCGCAAAGCGGCACAGGTCTGGCTCCAGGAGGGCGACATGAACAGCTCCTCCCCCAAAAAATGCACCTGGGGCATCACCCTGACAGGCCCCACGTACACTATGCCCTGAGTAGCTGTCATATTGCCCTGCATCAATTATCACAAAACTTTGGCATATATTTTGAGGGGACACAACAATCTTGGAGGTTTTGAGCAGGGTCGGACATGCCATCTCTGGGGGGCCCAGGCTCCCATAATTTTTTTCTGTGGATGCCCTGAGTATGGAGGAAGTGAGGCAGGCACTGTGCAAAACGTTGTCTTAACTCTGGGGCTCAAGCACAGCTGCAGCAATTGGACAGGGGCCTGCTCCTCTGCCGCGAAGCCTCCATCCTCTGTGTGACAGCCCTTGAGATATTTTAAGATGGCTTTCATATCTCCTTTCAGTCTCCTCTTTACCTGGCTAAACGTATAACCCTAAACTGGCAAGCATATACACATAGGGAGGGAGATAAAGAAGTTTTATTTTTTGGTTTGTACAGTGGTACCTCGGGTTACATACGCTTCAGGTTACAGACTCCGCTAACAAAGAAATAGTGCTTCAGGTTAAGAACTTTGCTTCAGGATAAGAACAGAAATCGTGCTCCAGCAGCGCGGCAGCAGCAGGAGGCCCCATTAGCTAAAGTGGTGCTTCAGGTTAAGAACAGTTTCAGGTTAAGAACAGACCTCCGGAACGAATTAAGTACTTAACCCGAGGTACCACTGTACTTGATTTTGATCAAACTAAGCTCCCTAGAGCAAAACATACACCAGGAGGCTTAGTGGGGTCAGAATCGAGTATACACTTCCAGAGTTAATGATTAATACATTACTTCTGGTAAATGAGCAACCATAGCCGTAGGAGGGCCCTAAAAATTTGTGCCCGGGCTTTTTAGACTCGTCTACCCATATACTATCTGAAACCAAAGGGGTACATTGGTGCCAGATGTGAATCCCCCCCCCAGCTCTCCTACCACACTACTGGGTGCCCATGGCATACAAAGGCCCTTCATCAGCTCAAACCACCACTTATTGCCAGGCCCAAGCGGAGGTGTGTGGATACGGCTTAGGAGCCAAACTTAGCTTCCATTCATGGTGGCCACCTAACTGTTTGGCTCCACCTCCAAATGAGCTGGCCAAGAACACACCAGCTAGACTGGTGACTGGGAGCGGCCACCGAGACCAACACAACACCAGTCTTGAAAGATCTACATTGGCTCCCAGAACATTTCGAGCACAATTCGAAGTGTTGGTGCTGACCTTTAAAGCCTTAAACGGCCTTGGTCCAGTATACCTGAAGGAGCGTCTCCACCCCATCTTTCTGCCCAGACACTGAGGTCCAGCGCCGAGGGCCTTCTGGCAGTTCCCTCACTGCGAGAGGTGAGGTTACAGGAACCAGGCAGAGGGCCTTCTCGGTAGTGGCACCCACCCTGTGGAACACCTCCCAGCAGATGTCAAAGAGAAGAACAACTACCAGACTTTTATAAGACATCTGAAGGCAGCCCTGTTTAGGGAAGCTTTTAATGTTTAACAGACCACTGTATTTTAATATTTTGTTGGAAGCCGCCCAGAGTGGCTGGGGAAACCCAGCCAGATGGGCAGGGTATAAATAATAAATTAGTATTATTATATTATTATTGTGCTGCTGCTCTGGTTTGCAGCTACAAAGGCTTTTAAAACTCATAACTTGTTTTAGGCCTTTAACAAATCTGGGGAGGAGGATGCTCTGGCAGGGCACTGGTGGCTGTGGGGTGGGTCCCATCAGCTAAATCGTGCATAATGTCCCCTGAAGTCTGGCCCCGGCCTTGCTTGGACCTGCTCACCGTCACAACAAGACTATAATGGGGGCTAGTGACCAATGCCAAGGACTGAGGGTAATAGATATCAAATCAAGCATATTGGGGGGAAAGGTTTGGTCCAACCCAGGGTTTCCCAAACTTGGGTCTCTAGCTGTTTTGGGACTACAACTCCCATCATCTGTAGCTAGCAGGACCAGCAGTCAGGGATGATGGAAGTTGTAGTCCAACAACCCAAGTTTGAGGGACCCTGGTCTAACCATCTCCCTGATATCCTCAATGTTGTACAGAATGTTTATTATTTTCAGTCAAGGAGCACTTAAACCTGCAGCATATACTATGACAGCAGGGTGGGGTTGGTATGCGGTGGGACACAGAATGTGCACTTGGAAAAATGAGAGCACACGGGAGACACAGGTTTATTCTGGGTTTTTTTTAAAAAAAAATTATTTGTAAACTTAACAAAGAAAAGGAAGAGGGGACATTTTTACAGAAATTAAATGAAATTGCTAATGAAAAAATAGTTACCGGTAAATTTGATTAAAAAGGAAAATAATATATGAGTAATACTAATAGTAACAACAACAACCCACCATCAGTTCACATTATGGATGCTGTAAGCATCAGTATGTATATCTAATGTAGAACATATAAATTGATACAAGGCCTCCAGGTGCCCAAATAGGTATCCACACAAAAATGATGTTTATATGAAATACGTTCAAATGTAAGTAGCTCCGTGAGGTCCTCAAACCATTGCATAATACTTGGTGGGTGTTTTATCTTTCCAGGCAGAAAAGTATAAGACTCTTAGCAACCGTAAGGGCTTGCAAAATCCTCTTTTGTTGTCCTTATGTGTTTATTAAGCACTTATATGACAGACA